TGTTGAAGTGACGGGCATGGCCGACTGCATGCCTTTCTTCGGGATAGGAGACCTGAGGGAGATTCTGCAGGCTATAAAGGCCCAGGATGCAAAAACCGTGGAGCAATGTAGACCTCTCAAAGTCTCAAACTACCTAGAGGTGAGAGATGCTCTTTGGGGCATACTTTTCAATGATCCATTTTTAATTTGCCATCACAGTATCAAAATATGAGCACATTTAGAGAGTTTAATGAAAATTAGCTGAAAATGTACTCACCCTCAGGCCATCCAAGATGTAGATGAGTTTGTTTCTTCATTGGAGCAGATTTGGAGAAATGCAGCAGTACACTTGCTCACCGATGGATCATCTGCAGTGAATGGGTGCCGTCAGAATGAGAGTCCAAACAGCTGATAAATACATCACAATAATCCACAAGTAATGGACAAGACTCCAGTCCATCTTGTGAAGCAAAAAAAGCTGCATGTTTTTAAGAGACAAATTCATCATCAAACTTGGAACTTTTGCTTCCTGCTAAAATACAACTCCTCTATCCATAATATTGCTTTCTCAAGTGAAAAAGTCATCTAGTTTGAATAAGGAGAGACAAATGCCCAGATCAAGAACAGACAAAAACTGTTCTAAAGAAATATGGTTGTGGATTTTGATGTGAGAGGACAACAGGGGATGGACTTTTCCACTGAAGGCAGCATTATTATGAATTGAGGACTTGAAATTTGGCCAGAAGTGGCTGTTTAAAGTTAAAAAGCGAAATCAAACACGCAGCTTTACACTTCACAAGATATCCATTTATGGACTGGAGTCGTGTGTATTATTGTGATGTTTTTATCAGCTGTTTAGACTCTCATTCTGACGGCACCCATTCACTGCAGATGATGACCTGAGGGTGAGCACATTTTCAACAAATTAAAATTTTTGGATGAACTATTTCATTAATAATATTAGACTGGAGTTAGTATCTTTTGAGATTATTTTTTGCTTTAAAAACTCTTTTACCCACTTTTTCTTTCAGAGTGAAGCTGTGAGACTAGCTAGACAGTTAACTCTAAACCTCTCCAGAGCTGATGTTACAAACACGCTTTACCGAATGAAACGGGAACTTGAAGAAGATAGTCGGGTCTGCATTCACGGACGACCATTTTTTCACGATCTGGTTACTGTTCCTGAAACTGAGCAGGAAGCTCTGTAAATCATGGCTAATTCTTGCTAAGGATTTCAAGGACTTCGTTATAAGACCAAATTGGCACACTAACATTTATTCTACCATATAGTAGTATGAAAGCTGTTATGTTGAATAATTACCTTGTCTTGTTGAATTACAGTTTTCATTCATGATTTGATGTATAAATACTTATCAAACTGGATTCTGGGTGTTTAATCAAGATGCCTATGTATTACGCAGGTGGTTTCAACCCAGAAAGTCGTGCAAGATCTATGCACACAAATCACCATTTTATCTTTCATAACATCATATGCAAATAAAATAGCCGTAATTATAATGCATTAAATAGCTACTTCAGTCCAGAAATGACAGTGATGGGTCATGAGTAATGTTACTTTTTATGAACGATTTTATGAGGGTAAAGCTAAAGAAATTTGAATATCAATTATGACACATTAAGATTTTGAAACCACTTTTCAATTATGTTAATGTATTTTGCTTTTCTGTCTTAATTTATTGTGGGAAAATTAGACATTACTGTTAATGAAGGAAAGGACAAGTGCTCGACTTTAAAAGTTTGCCTTGTTGACTTCTGATTAGAAAAGAAAACAAGCCAGAACTACTGACCCCACAGCAGATGCCAGTGAACCACAAAATTTAATGCAGTGTGGTTGTAAATTCACTCTCCCCCAAAAATCAGCACCTTAAATGCTGATCATGAAAGTCGGCGCTAGGGGCCCATAAAGCCAAAAGAGATGGGCTCTGGGGTTTGCCGAAAAGTGTGCAGTCACAGTCAGGGACCTCCAATTACCAGCTGAAAATAAGGCTCAGATGCTGTGAAGTTTTAACAGTTGCTCCCCTGTAGCCATATGGTTTGTGGTTTTTCAGTGTTTGATCAGTTCCACGAACTGCATTTTAACCTCTGGGGACCCAGTAATTAATTTTCGTCCTCTATAGAGGACATGAGTCCACAATTTTTAGTCTTAATTTTTAGATTTTAAAGAAATGAATACCTTTATTAAGCAGGGTATGGATCAAAAGTGACAGTAAAGACTTAATATTACAAAATATTTCTATTTCAAATAAATGCTGTTCTTTTCAACTTTCTATTCATCAAAGAATCATGAACAAATGCATCATGGTTTTCACAAAAATATTAAGCAGCACAACTGTTTTGAACATTGATAATAATATGTAATGTTTTTGAGCACCAGATCAGTTATAATAAATTTGAATAAATTTAAATTTAAAATATAATAAATAGAAAAGAGTTCTTTAAAATGATAATATTTCATAATATTTTTAACTGTATTTTTGTATATGATGCAGCCGGTGAACATAAGAAATTTAAATGTAGCCTTGGTGAACACAAGAAACTTCTTTCAAAAACATAAAAAAACATTTTAATAATAAAAAATGAATGGTAGTGTCTCTAGTAAAAAAAAACAGAGGTGAACTGGTGCTTTCAAGCTTAAAGATGCACCATAAAGTATTGTGAGGAACAGGATTAAGTAATCATTCACTGAAATTTGAAAAGATGAAAAGTTGGATGAATCTTTCTGTTTTTGAGTCAAATCTTTTTTTAATGAATTGGTTGATCCATTTGATTAAGTCTGAATGATTGAATCCTTAATCAGACTGATCTGGTTCTTGAGTCAAACTCACTGACTCAATGTGGTTGCAGCAGTTAACAGCTCACAAAGCCATCATATTCATTCAGAATATCCCACCTGATGCTTGCAGTCCCTTTGGGGTCCACAGTGTCACTGCATTGGTTTCACAGTGATTCTCGTCCAGCATTAACGGTGGCGCCAAGTGGTTGGTTTTAAGAGCCTGGAAATATTAGACGTAATTATAGTGCTATTAAGTTCAGCCTCTAATGCAGAGCTAAATTACTCTGATGCATGTCCTCATGCAGCCATAATTTTGCCAATCAGCTGCTGTAAAGCAATTACCTTGCACTGCTTAACTCAGGGACTCAAGAAACATGTGCTCTGTGTTAAATATAACTGCTGTGAAAACATGTTAGTCTTTATTGCCATTTAAGCTCTTAAAAGCCTTTTGAAACTGTTAAGGTTAAACTGGACCCAAAACATCTGGGATTTTTTCATTTAAACCCAGAAATAGGATTCTAGAAAAAGTTTTTGAATTTTATAAAATAATAAAAAATTAAATATGGTATATTATATGGTATATTGAAGATTTTCTGCTAATTGATAGATTTTTATTTTATTATTATTATTTTCCAGGTATTATAGGCCCCTTTGCAGTTGACCAATACATGCTGAGTCAGCCCAAGTTTTTAATCATGACGTTATTTCTTGTGGCCTACACATTGTCTCAGTAAATTTTGCTCAGTCATGCACTACTCCATGTTTCCGTTTGTTAAATCAAAACAGGTGGGTGTGGTGCTGGGTTCATTTCTCTGGCCTTTCTCAATCCTCATCACTGAACTAAAAATAGCTCGGAGTAGATGCACGTAGCATGTGTCGTTTCATTTTGGACCTGATTAACGTGCAAAGTTACTGTACGCAAAGCCAGATAGGGGCACAAGCAGGGAACATTGGGCAACACCATCAAAATAACCCATGTTATCCGACAGGCTCGGCTTTTCACACCACAGGGCAGTATGCATACCTGTTGCATCTGTATTCTGAAGGAAACTGATTTTTGGCCTAAAACCAATAACAGCTGGGAAAAAATGAATCAAGCATGACCTTTTTAACTGAGTGTTCACATGCTCTTGATCAGACTGATATTCATATCCAAAGCATCACCAATTCAATCTACCATCCTGGCTGTTTCGAGAGAGCAGGCACACATATTCCCAGCTTTAATGCAAGTCTCAAACAAGGGTCAGTGAGAAATGAGGCCCCCGAGTGCTGCCTCACCTCTCCCCTGCTTTTAGAATTTGCACCCTGTGGCTATGCAAGAGCGAGTGCTGAAGTCGCAGCACAGGGCCGTGAAAACTAAAACGTGTGCTGTGGTTTGACCTTTCCCTATGTTAAATACAATATTATCATAAGATGTGCTATCGAGTTACAGTGCGTTGCATGATCAGATTCACTGCCACGTGGGCTCTGCACTCAGGTTCAGCACATGTGAGCTCAGTGCTGTAGCATGCCAACTGGTATATACAAAACATTTTATTTTATTTTACTTTATTATTTTAGTCTAGTCTTTTTTTATAAGTGTACATGCAGGGCAATTATGCTTTTTGTCAAATATTGGGGAACGAATAACATTTTATTGGATTTTGAAGCTCCTGGGTGCAGTGAAATCTGCACTGGCCCAGCTTTATCATTAAGTCATTAACTTAACATGGAAATGCAACCCAACAAAACGTTGAGTCTGGAAAAAGGCTATGTTTCTGCTAAAGCAAATGTCTTGGAGGCTGTAGCGGCATAATATAACCTCATATTAGCTAGAAAAATAATTTAAGTGGGCATTAGCCATAAGTGAATATTTAAATGCATGCTTATTTCTCAATAGAAATCATAAATTAAAAGAACAGTTATGTGCTGTTACTCAATAAAATATTGAATTAACTATATTTTATGCATATTAAGCAAATATTTGCAATTGAATATCTATCTATCGACTATATATATATATATATATATATATATATATATATATATATATATATATATATATATATATATATATACACACACATACATGATTAATCACGATTAATTAATGTTTAACCACCGTTATAAAATCAGTAATAAAATACAAATGTATACTGTCTGTAAGTATAACTATAAATATATCTACATTCTTAAATTTAAAAAATCTTAAATATAATAAACACAAGAAACGTGTTTTTTCAAGAAAGTTGACGTTTGAGGCAGGTTTGGTACAAGACTAAAATAATTTGCACACCAGACAGGTTGCCTGTAGTAGCAGCTGGAGCTGCTCTGATTGCGGACTAGCTAATGGCCATAGCTTGAATTGCTTCAATGGTAGGAAAATCACCTTTCTGTGTTATTTTTTATATATTACTAATCCCACAATATTACTGTGTTAAACTGACAGTCATAATTTTTTTACAGCTTTTAACTGTTCATTCAGACGACATTTTTATCCTTTCAACCAAATGTTTCTCATACAATCAAAGTGCAAATCAGCAAAACGTGCTGTAAATTCATAATGTATACAATTAGCCATCAAATGGCATTCATTAATTAAAGAGCGAGCAGCTGGCACTGGTGGAAGCAGAGTACTGTAGGGTCTGGCATGAGATGGACTGCACATTGTGGTCAGAGAGCATGCCAAATTCCATTCCAGTGCCTCTGCAACAGGGGTCGAAGGTTAAGAAACATTGTGGCTCAGAAGACAGATGTCCATGAGGCCTGGGTGGATATTATCATTCTGCTTAAGAGCTGAAATCACAATTTGTTTAGCAATTTTCATAGGAAACATAGCTCTATATGGAGTTGAATAATGACCCATTTTATTGTATTAAAGGGGTCATATATGTGGAAAATAATGTGTTTTTTGAACCTTAAACCACGTAAACACATTTCATTACACCAAATACACAAAATAATGTTCTTTTTAGCAACATCATATGACCCCTTTAAGCATGTCTCCATATGGTTACCACTCTTTTAAATGTGCAGTCTATGGTTACCACTCTTTTAAATGTGCAGTCTTGCTGCTGCCTTAATTGGTGGATTGCATACTGTTTGCATACTGACCTACTGTGGTTTTCATGTTGTCCGTAGAGACTTTATAAGTGTTGGATTTATGCTATGTGTGGGAATGGGGGTTACCTCTGCTTATTCAGTATCTGAACTTTATGTAGTTGGTGTTCTCAACAGTTAAAATTTTGCAAATCATAGTCTGTTATGTGTCTTGCAGATGTAACTGTCAAAAAGGTTGTGAAGAATCCACAAGAACAAGGTAGGCTCATGCTTACTAAGTGGTTGCTAGCTTGCTGCTGGTCAGTTTCTAAGGATTTCTGGATGATTGTTAGGGTTGACTGTGAGATTGATAGAAATCCTCCTGCATAAAATCAGATGGAACAAATAGATAGTAGATAGTTATGAAATTACAGATGATTTTTTGTTATATGAACAATAATTGATTGACATGTATAATGACACTAATAGATAGAAATCAGATAGATGGACAGACAGATAAAATGATATAGATAGATAGATAGATAGACATAGACAGGAAGATAGATATATAGATCTAGTACATTCTTGAATAAGAAATTTCAGACAATTTTTCAGTGGGCAACATTTTATTTGAACAATTTTTGATACAAACATTATTGCCTTGATTGCAAAACAAAGCAAAACTGCTTCTCCATATGACAAGACACCTCAGATTCCTGCACATCCAGCTGTCTGACAGGCGTTGTGATGACACAGGAGGGGACATGTTTCCATTTTTCCAAATGATCCAGACATCTCGCAGTCTCCTCAGAGGAGCATCTATCCTCCATCACTGTCAGTCATAGGTCTCCTGGGGGCATATGGTTTACTGCCACAGACCTTTTCCACTTCTGTCATTAGGGTGCCTTGTAAATGAACTTAGACTTATGGACAAAACTTGCTGAATGACTCATTCCAGCCCAAATGTGATCTTGAGTTACACATTGCTAAAACAGGACACATTCCCATCCTCGATGTCCGGAAGCTTTACGATGTAGTTAATCAAATGTTGATTCCACAAGGGTCAATAGAGTTTTGGGAGAGACGGATGTCGATTTCTCAGCTAAGTGAAAAAACAAGTGGTGTTGAAGGCAGGGCCCAGTGTGGATGCGCTGGATAAATCCATCAGGGGCGCTGACAATCAGCCGTCAGTGGCTGCACATCTGCGCCTATCTGCCCGAGGCTCATGTCTTTTATTGCTGTTCATTGCTTTCTTCAGATGAGAGCACAAGTTCAGTGTAACTGAATCGCACCTCCCTTGGAAACTGAGGTGATTACTGCATTGCAAAATGTTAGATTAATCATTAAATTAAAGGTACTTTAGATTGTGCCTGTTGAGTGGGACTGATTGTTGACTGAATTAGAAAAGATCAGTGCAGAGCTCAACAATAAGCTTGGCTCTGTGAGAAGTCAGAGTTTTGGGGCCAGTTGACGAAATTAATCGTCACTGAGTATTATATTTAATGATCATATGCATGTTTTTTTTCAGACCTAAACATTTGGTTTTCTGTGATGTAGTCTATTGAAGACTGATGATGCAAATTCAACTGGTTTAAATATGTTACCATGGGAAAGTAGGTGTAGAAGAGGGTTTGTCAAAATTGCAAGATGCATCAGTTTTAATGCTTCTTTAAATGATCATTGCATGCTTTGACTTCCCAGCCAAATTACAGTACCTTTCAAAATGTTTGTTTCTTGTGCTCAACAAGGCTGCATTTATTTGATCAAAAAGATGAAAACAAATCTGTTTGAATATATTTTAAAATATAATTTATTTCAGCAGCCATTACTCCAGTCATCAGTGTCAAATGAGCCTTCAGAAATCATGTGCTGATTTTTTTTTCAAAAGAACAGCATTTATTTGAAATAAAATATTTTGTAACATTATAAATATCTTTACTGTCACTTTTGATTAATTTAATGCATCCTTGATGCATAAAAACATTAATTTCTTTTAAAAAAATTCACCCCAAACCTGAAATATTATTTTTATATTATTATTTATTATTTTTTGGTGTGATGACACATAATATCAGCAGATCATGTATAATTATACTGGGCCAGCAGTATGATGATGCCCTGTCAGGCCGGAGCGATGATTCAAAAACATGAAAACCCATTATAAACGAGGCATTCGTTGCATCCAGTGGGGACATAATCATGGATTATAATGACTTATACTGTCTTTTTACTCGTTGCGTTGCATCGCACCGTGTAAACATAAAACCATGTCTGCATTTGTGATCTGAGAAATGACAAACAACAAGCCCTACTCTACACTGCCCAAAACAACTCACTTTAAATATATAAAATATAAAAACTCTTTAAATATAAAAAGCGTACTTACAGTCTTTGAGTCAGAACAGCCGGCATTGTAGTCTACTTACCCAGGATCAGGAAACGGTCCTCCATAAAATGTGCTGCACACATCTGAATATTTAGGTTGAAGTGTTCTGGAACAGTGTTGTAAATACAACTTAACCACTGATTTCTAGTCGTGTCCATTTTTGGAAGGCCAACAAAGTAGTTTTGCATTCACAACGAAACAGCGTCACACACGGCGGCCTAGAGTGAGCAGAGGAACGGCCGGAGGGCTAGAGTGAGCAGAGGCGGCGGATTCGACGAAGGAGCGGCCAGCGGGCTTGCGGCAACCACATGTTACGACCCTGGGCTGGACTCCTCTTCGTCCACGGTGAAAGCCGATCCGGCGATCCACAGAGCAAAGTTGTAGTATTTCCTCAGCGACCAGCACGGATCAGCTCCAGGCATGACGAAGCAGATATTGTCCTCTTTTGGAAGGCCAATCAAAGTAGTTTCGCTTTCACAACAAAGCACACAGCGTCTTCACGACATGGCGGTGGCAACAATACTACAGCGAGAATAAAAGTTACGCCTTCTTTCTTTGCGTGAACATCCGTGTCAGCGTTATGCAAATCTTGTCGTAGTGTCATAGTGACGTAGACATGTGGGGGCGTGATAGAACGAGCCATTTTAGGTAGGCGTGGCTGACTCTTAACTTTTATAAAGAATATCTCTTTGGATTTGAGACTTTAGTCTTTCCAACTTTACAGATCTTCTTTATGCACCAAGAGCTTGTAACACTCCAAAGAGAAAGGAAAAATTGAAATCGCATCATATGACCCCTTTAAGATGAAAATCAAATGATGTCAATTTGTTTTTTGGCAGACAGGTAATAGTACAGCTCATGTTTACTGCAGCAGCAGACCAGGTGAGATGTCAATAGCACAACATGTATCATCTGTCACCTTTCTGCAACCTCGCCATCAATATTCGACCTGATACCTCATGGCAGTTCGTACCTTTAACTCATCACTCAAAAGCAAGTGTTTATCCAGCTGTTCCAGAGACTGCACGTTAGTGTGAAGATGCAGATGTTTGACCACACCTGGCAGCTGTCCCTCTTCCCCTTTGTACACGGTGCTTCCCTCCTGTCCAAGCACATGGCTCCCCTGCAGCTCATGTGGATATGGGGAATCCTGGTGACTGAGATGAGTTATGTGTTTTTCCCCGGAGTCTCCTGTCCCTCAAGGAGCCACGCTGCCTTCCCATTTTCTCACAGTCACTTCCTCTCCTGTCAACCTGGGAATGTGCTGGCACCCGTCAAGCTATGGAGACAAGGAAAACGTTTCCCGTGTGACAGATATAACAACTCGGGGAAACCATTACTGTTCCTGTTTATCATACACTTGCCATTACCTGGCACAAAGGACGGTGCTGCAAGTCAGATGCACAAGAAAACAAATCAATCATTCTTCTGAGCGTGATTCATAGCACGAACGCTCCTGCATGTACAACAGGATGAATTACGAAGGGATACACCTGATTATCGGTGCGCATTTAGATGTTAAAACGCTTCTCGATAGTTTCAACCATGTTCATGTGAGGTGTTTGGGTTTTTCAGAACCCAAGTTTAATTGTATGTGGCAATCCACTGCACATTATCTCAACCCAAATGTGGAAAGAAATGTTATTGCTCAGGGACTTTTAATCTCCCACAACCCTCTGTTCATTTCAGAGCAGTTCCCACCTGGTTTCCATGGCATCTGCCCAACTCACAGCAGGAAAGGAAGCAGATCTCGGCAGTGCTGAGTTCGCCCTCTTCTGGACGGAAGTGAGGGCTCCAATAAGCCTTGGTCTAATTAGCCGTGCTGTCAAAACATTTCTGCACAAGTCCTTTTAGAAAACTCTACTGCATGCTCTCACTGAACTATTCCGAGGGGAGATTTGTTAATTTGGACTTATGTAACACCGCAGCTCGCTGCCATTATGGGAAAAACAAATGAAAAGGTCAAATGATAGTAAATTCAACCCAAAAGGAACCTCTTAACCTGCATTCACCTTTGCTTAGAAAAATACACGAGGGGGAACGACTTCCTCTTTTAACTCTCTGATCACATCCAGTATGGATCAGTTTGACAATAAAAACATTTTATCAAATGATTTTGATTACTTGAACAAAATCATTCAAGTACAGAACTGCTTGTTTTCAAATATTTAAAACTCAGTGCAGTTTTAACCCTTTTTCTGAACAATTTGAAATAATAGAGTTAAACATATAAAGCAAGCACCTTTATTTGTTTGAACAGATACATAGGTTTATATTGTACACTTTTTTGCTATTTCGTGTTCATATACATGTACTAACCGTGGTTAAAAAAGGCAACTGTTAATGGAAACAATGGCAAGTATACAATACAATTAGCAAACATATCAAAATCAGTTTTTACAACATTTTTAGCAACCAATTCTTTCTATTGGTCTGCCATAGTGCAAACTGTGTGGTTTGAAGACAGAGTGTTAGCGTGATATTAACATTCAATCTTACAGTTCTGATATCTCTGTCTCGAACACATTTCAATGTGTAGACCGTATTCACAGCGCCTCTGCTTCAAGTCCTTCTGTCCCTTAATAACGATCTCAATAATACTTCAAGTGTGTAGGGCTGTTCGACAGATGAGTAGTGGACAAAAGCTATGATTAACAATTCGATCGGTGTGTTTATTGCAGTGTATGTGGAAGTTTGCATCAGATAACTGTATTCAAGCTCTGTTCAATGTTCAAGAGTTTCTCTCTGTTTCTCTTGGATACTCTTCTTAAATAAGCTTACCGGTTACAGCTGTTACAGCAAAGATCTAAATGATTGTATTTTGGCGTGGTTGAATAATACAATGTTGTCTGCGTATCCTAATGAGAGTATTCTGACAAGGTGAAAACATGAAATAAAGCAGAGAATGTCGTCCATTTCAATAGTGTCCATTCCCAAGTCCAGCCAGTATGGCATTCCTTTAGTACATCCATGTAACATTGGACTCCTGTAGCAGAGATACTGATTTAGAGGAAAATGACAAAAAACATAGTCAAATAAAGCAGTGCCCAGAGAGTAAGTGAGCGTCCTTCTATTGCACAGTGTCTTGCGGAAAGCACTGATAATGGATGGTGGATGGTGTGATCAGATGTCCGGGTCTGTGAGACGGATCGAGTCCTGTCTGGGCACTGGTTCATGAGCAGCCACAGCGGTCTACTACCATTGAGGGGATCTTGCCGTAGATGATCTGCTCTTTGCCGTTGAAGTAAAGCATGTTGATAGGAGACATCTTGGTGGGGGTGCAGCAGGGCCCGGCGGTGCCTCGTGGATTGGCCTTGTTTACCAGATGGGTGTGGGGATATTTCTGCAGGTGCATGAAGTCGCATTCTCCTGAACAGTAATTCGCCTTATAGCGTTTTGGAGCAATAATCCAGTCCCAGCCGAAGTCCTCGAAGTCCACAGTGAGAGGGTACCTGCAGCATCGAGACTCTGACGAATTCTCGTCGCAGTCCAATCCAGAGTCCCTCCGGATTCGCTTTGGGCCCTCGGAAATTTTCACCTCCATGAAGGGGAGCTGGGTGTGAAAGAAACCAAAGAGCCAGTGTTTCAGTTTACTGTTGGTGCTTTCCTGTCTGAAGGCACTTGCCAACTCCTGGTCTGACCATGAAGTAGCTTTGTCCAACCATTAATGAATGCTAATGATTCTGGTTCCAATTCCACTTAATGATTATCATCGCTAAATGATGCCATTAACGATTTTTTTCAATTCTTATTGCAGTTAGGGCCCCCAGCAAATCATGAGATAATTTCTGATATCAGCAGAACCAATATACAGACATAAATGTAATACATTTTTGCCACACTTTTTTAATGATATTTATATGAAATAAAAATACTAAAACAAATTGAAAAACGTGTAATTTGTGTAAAGTACCATTGAGTACCACAAGTTTGAATTAAAGCTTAAGTTTCATGAGGGTTAACATTTTTTATTTAGTTCGTTTCTTGTTAGACATGGCGAAAGTAACTTTAGATTCAGATCCAGATTAATTCACTAAAAATATTTTTTTTATTTTAAACAAAGTATTGCATAACTAAACCATGTAAATAATTTCTCAATAGTGCCATTCACAACAATTACTGTTGGCAAAGCTCTGTCTAAAAGCGGTTATATTTTACGAAAAACATATTTGGTAACCACAACAGCTCAACTCACCAGTCCATCCTCTCCAGCCTCAACTGATGTGACGGCCAAGTCGTTTCCCTTCGCGTCAAACGCGTTTATCTCAATGCCCCAGTTGGTCTCCGGTTGTCTTAACCACACCGCCAGGACCTGTTTTACATCTATACTCTGCCAAGACGTCGCTCCTGCGTTCACATCGATCTTCAAGGATCGTATTCGTATGTGCCTTCCTCCGTCCGTAACGGGCGTCAGCCGTGATATCTGTAAGAAGACGGTGGTCGCTTCTTCCGTCGGTCTCAGATGAACCCACAGCTGCGCTCTTACGATCCGGTTCGCTTGAATCTTCGGACTGAAGAAGAAAAAACAACACTTCGGTTTCCGATCTACTTGAACGATGGGGTCAGCTGAAAAAAAAAGAGAAAGAGCGATTATACGGACTGTATTCATGATTATATCTACAGGTTTTATCATTAAAGCAGTTTATGATGTGGCGCACTGATATAGATTTTAAAATGTTGACTACGCCCACAAAATACAATGCATTACAGACATGCAAAATGTATGTTAAATGTAAAAATTTGATTGACTATATATATATAGTTCAGATATATGTAGTCATTTACATTAAAAAAGACCTTATACGGCATTGCGGAAGGAAATATTTATACTATATTTAAAAACTCGACAAGGCTTTTTATACTGCAACTTTGGCCACTCTATTGTGTCGTAAGATTCAATGATTGGCTGAGCTGGCAACAATAAACCTAATGGACAGAGCTGGACTTCTTTCGCAGTTCTTAAAGAGGCATGACATCTTAGAGGAGTCGTGGAGGAATCGGCCGAACTTGAATACAAATTATGCACATGTATATGAAAAATACGCATAATTATTATAACATTTCAGTGCGTGCATCTAGGCTACTCACTATCCAAACGCATCTGACCCATAATGTAAAGGCTACATGTGACATTTATGCATATGAAATCATAATCAACAGAATATTTGTTTTTATCTTAACAGTACAATCATACATAATTTTCCCTATGTCCTATTTTTATGTGGTATAGTATTTGAAAAGGTCAAGGCAAATGTTTGGATAATATTCTTGTAGATTCTGTCAATGCAACGGAATTTAATTTCACTACATATGTAAATGTTTAAACGTAAGATATCGAAAAATCACAATTCATTTTATTTGTTCAACACTCCCTCATAGCTGCAGCTTCTTCATTTTTTAGACCCGTGGGTAAGATACGTAGCGTCATCTTGTGGAATAACTTGTGTAACGCAGGTGAGGTCTGTCCCGGACCTCCCTTTTCTCAAATATCTGTAGTTTTTGCACAGTTATTAGTTAAAATGATACATATAAAGATAGTAAACGAGGAAAATAATACACAAAATAATATACAACTTCTAGTATACATTAGAAATTATAATTGTGTTGGATTATGGCGAGATTGGCCAGCTGTGGTACATGGCAACCGATTTTCCTCACACTACTCCACAGTTTTCCTTCTTACATAATAACATAATTTCACCTCAAATCAATATTTCATGTCCATTTATTTATTTGGCAAGGAGCCGGATAATAAGCAGGATAATTTGCAGTCATCCGGTCATTATTGCAAAATGAACACTTTCAAGGCCATACAAGACTCTGCTTGGAGTCTGGGAACATTTAGTGATAATGAGCTGGTGACAGGGAATTATCCCATCACTTATATCTTCGGTTCAGTCTAATAATGTGAATATAAAAAAAGGAAGAATCGAAGATTCAAAACGTAATGACTACGCTGAAATCTTTCTTTATTAAGTTCAAATGGATTTAGGATAATACCAAAACGTGATATAAAATGATCTAGTCTGAAATTATCGTGCTTGTTTGTTTGATGTTTTTTAATTGTAACTCGCTTCCTAAAATCGGTTAATGGATTGTGGTATACTTATGAAATGTAAATTTGTAATAAAAAAATCTTAATTAATGACAGTAAGCCTACTGTATGTAAGAATGGAACCTGTTGATATAGTTACTACGCAAGGAATGCGATTTACAAGTGTCTTATGTTTTAACTGGGGTTTTTACCGTGGGTCGTGGAAAAATATAATTTTTCAAATTCAATTAACATTTTTTTGGTAAGCATACACTACAGACTCAAACTGAATTTACCAGTGTGACGAAACCTTCAAGGAATTAACTACTGAATCACACTTGTGTGACAGACAGAGCTGGGTAGATTACTTGAAAATTGTAATCCATTACTGATTCCAAATTACATGACAAATAAATGTAGTTAGGAACCTAATTCGTTACATTACACATTTTAGGTAATATAATCAGACTAATTTTTGATTAGTTTTAGATGACTTTTGACTAGTTTATCATATTGATTTAAATAGGATAATAATGTACCATATTGATATAAAAATGCAAAGAAAAAGAAAAAAATAAATCTCTTCTTGTTAACATAATAAAGTGCACTAAACATTACATTATGTCAAAGTTTCCCAAACTGGGGCTTGTGAAGGAACTGCAGGAGGTACACAAGTTGAATGAAAAGCTAATAATTAAATCATAGAAATGGAAAATTACAATAAATCATTTTAAAATAACAATTAAAATAAAACACTTACTAAAAAAAAATTAAATTATTTGTTTACCTGCATATCATGTGACCATTTACCAATGTCAGAGAACCGTGAACATGCAAATGTGTTACTTAATTATTAACTTATTACCTTAAAATCTCAGGGGGGACTTCAAAATGAATGTGAAAGAGATTCGGCTGACCAAAAAAAAGTTTGTGAATCCCTACATGTAAATGATAAATAACGTGAATTTGCGCATTTTAATGTGTTTGAAAGAAAAAAAGCCTTCCAAAGACATAGTAATACATGGTTAAATAACCTACTGAGAGATAATTCAAATAAATATTAATGTGTTCATCAGTAGTTGATGCAATGTTGAAATGTTGAGAACGCGCTTATTAAAATGAAAACGATTTAGGTAAATCCAGTGGTCAAATGCTGTGTGGCCCTCTCAGTTTTCTGTGTATAATTACAGCCATCTGACCAGTAACTGGTCCACAAAACTGGAAGACTTTCTGAATGTATATAAGTGGTAGGCTGTTTTAGAAAGGAGCATTTAAAAGATATAAGGAATTGGGGAGAATCAATCAATTATGAATCATTTATTGCTATTGTGCGAGTAATATGTAATCATGTAATCAATAAAAAAACGTAGTCTGATTGTAATTTATGTATTTTAATCAAATTTCAAGTACTTAATTTTTGGAATCAGATTATGTAATCCAGAATACACGTAATCAGTTACTACCCAGCTCTGGTGACAGAAATATTCTCTCTCTATATATGCTCATACACTCTTAAAAATAAAGGTGCTTCACGATGCCATAGAAGAACCTTTTTGTCTAAATGGTTCCATAAAGAACCTTTAACATCTGAAGAACCTTTCTGTTTCACAAAAGCTTCTTTGTGGTGAAATAAGGTTCTTCAGATTACAAAAAGGTAAGAAAGAGATGGTTCTTTAAAGAACCTTTGACTGAATGGTTCTTTGTGGAACCAAAAAAGGTTCTTCTATGGCATCGCTTGAAGAACCTTTTGAAGCACCTTTATTTTTAAGAGTGTATGACAAGAAAACAAATGAGTTTATTTTCTCATATTTTACTCAAAAAAGTTTCTGATAGGAAATAGCCTAGATTATACATCTCTAGGGTGGCCTATCATGAAAAAGTTTGGGAACCCCTCTGTTAGAAATATTGATCTAATCTATAGTATTAGTGAAAACAGTCATTCCACTAGGTGGCGAAATTGTGTTTAAAAACACACTGAGGCGCAACCTGTGTCTGCGTGGGTTGCAGTAACCTATTTTACCCAGTTTACAAACAAATATTTAGGCAAGGATAGCATAAACTAAGTGTGCCCGTGAATAGAAACAGGAAGAATTTCCCAGCTGCATATTCAGTCATGCAGATGGCCATGACTGAATGGCCAGAGAGAAGTGCAAAAGCAACACGGATTCATGCGCTGTTGTGCTGCTTCGTTGGAATGAAACTGAAACGTTATCATCATTAAATGTGGACTCCGGACGCACGTGCTGAATTCTGACCCGACTTACCCTACAAGAGCATGTTCATCAACATGCTTTCTCATTCTCCTGTGGAGTAACCAAGACTGGGATAGAGGAGGAAGCGTCTGTCTGTTCAAACTGTGGATTTATGCCAGTTTTCATTTTAAATAACGCATTCCGATTTGGATTGAATGATTTCTTCTATTTTAATATCCATAATATTGACGCTCACAGCCTGCAGACCGAATTGGTATGTACCCACAATGATTATATCACTGGTGGAATCGGCAATTTTAATATTATATATAGCCTATAACATCACCGTGCATTTTATAAAGCCAGGAAAAACATTTGCATTGACCTTGAGGGGTTCTTGAGACAAATACGACCATGGAATTTACTCGGGGAAACCCGGCAGAACTGTAATTTTAATCTCGTTCTCCCTGGCTATAACACTGCATTGCAACCAAGATGTTATTAAAACTGTTGATCACTTCAGATTTCCAGACAGTGACCGTCGGTTGTCTTTGGCTGCTGTGTATAGCCTACAACGGGGTCGCGTATCAGGCTAAGAGAATATATAGCCGAGCGTAATAATATTATTGTTAAAAATATGAACTGTTTTCGCGCCCATACGAGCTTGTAGATTTAGAATCCACACAATCAACACATTCGTATTCTTAAATGAGACATTATCGATGTTGGTAGCCTATCTGTGCAGCAAAAGGAGTGAACCACCGGCTTTCGTTGTAAGGAGAAGTCTATCAGTTAGGATTAGCTGTCCTCAGCAGCAGCGTTTCATGAGGCAGCACGAGACAAATATTGTAATAGCGACGCCCGAATCGCGAACGAATCGTTCTTTTGAGTCGGATCATTTGAACGATTAGGCGGAACCAGGTTGAACCCGTTCACAACATCGATCTGAACGATGCGTTCGAAGATCGAACTGAATCAGTCCGAGCGGTTCTCCAGTCCAAAACACCAAGACACACTGAATCCGATTCGGAGTGAGCCGAGAATTGATGGAAGAACATTTCAGTGTGAACCAAATTAACTGATGTCACTGATGAGGCTAAAAGCAGATTTAAAATGTGCAGAAATGTTACTAATAAAACGTACTATAAACGTTACTTTCACGTTTTTGCTATAGACTACATAATAGTTTTGTTTTTAAGGTATTTTATTCACACATAACAATTCTTTTTCTGAGAGTAGATTTGTAGTATTGTTTTATGGGAATACTAATTATATTTAGCTTTTAAATTAGGCCTGAATCTGAACTGGGATTAAACAAACAAACAAAACAAAAAAACCCGTATAAATAGAAAATCACAGCATTATCTGTGTGATTACGGAATTATGTGTTTGCATAAACAACCACTGCATTTTTTTAACCGATTCTTTAAAACGTTGTATGAGCCAGACTTGCCATTCCTAATAAATACCATATCTAGTCGACGACTACATGCTTTAGCCTATTAAAGCACATTTTTCTTTATATTGCCTCATAAGGAAATCCTCATTCCTGTGAAGATTTAGTCATTAATGGACAAGGTTGCCAAGACATAATAGTCATCATGAAAATATATATTCAGCCAGGCGAAGACAAGAAATAACTCACAATAATCATACATCTTCTTCACACAGGGCAAGTGTGAGGTGGCCATGAGGATGCTATACATCATGGCTGACCATCTGGAGTGTCTCAACTACACTTTGTACAGAAATACGTCCTTGTCCTAGCTTCTTATCCATACATCACAAAACCCTATAAACTGCCAAACGAGGGAATATAACCTTGGTATCTCGCCATCTTTGCATCTCTTCCCCTCACTGCTTTCAAACCAATGCTACATTATT